TTTTCACTGACTGGCTCTGAGGACTCAAATCATCAACCTTTCCTGTTAAGACATTGACTGGCTAGATGTTCTTTTTGGCTATATCCAAAGCAATTTAGGTAGCTTTTTAACTATATCCAAAGCAACTTAAGTATCCTTTTAATCATATCCAAGGCAATTTAAGCAGTTCACACTCACGTATTCACAATCACATTTCATACATACTTGTGTGGCCACATCATACATTCAGAACATACATACATCTTTCAGTCATCCTTTTTCCCTAGGTCATGATTAGTTTGTTGAAATGAAGCTTCCTTAATTGACATCTCTATGACAGAACAACTTCAGCCAATCCTTTAATTAAAACAAAAGGTTGAAAAAGTCCTATATGCCCCTCATCATCCCTCCATTTGAGAAGTTCTGAGCTACACTCAGGGGCTATAGCTATATCCACTCCTTGTAACTTTGTAGATGTAGGGTGGAGAGGCCAGGCTTTTGGCCAAAAGTTTTTAGAGATGACTCACAAAACTGACCTTTCAATTTGTATCAATAACCAACAATGCAAACAAACATTTATAAATAATATTTGGGAATGTGGGTGTCGTTCTTTCCAAACTACTTCCTGCTGTTAAGGGGCACTGAAATACCATGGGGATCATGACAAAAAAACAGGAACCTGTTGAAGTCCTTGTTTTTGTGGTCTGCAAGGCTGCATCATCTCAGCTGTTTTAGATGTTGGATCACCTGGGCCACTGCTTCAGGTGGTCTTGCTTCATCAAGCCATACTAGTCTGGAAGGAACCCATAGCTTTTTATTTTCTGTGGAAATTCTTTTTCCAAGTAACCTGTCCTTATATTTAAATTTAGAAGTCAAAGCATTTTCAAAATATATAAGTTGGATTAATTCAGCAGCATTGATAATCAAATGTGTTTTAGCAGTTGTTTCTTTTTTAGCAATTCAACAATTCAAAAACAATACAACAGTACACGGTATCTCCATGTATTTTTCATTCCATCTTTTCTTTTTTTCTTTTTTTTTTTTTTTTTTGGTTTTTCGAGACAGGGTTTCGCTGTATTGCTTTGGAGGCTGTCCTGGAACTCACTTTGTAGACCAGGCTGGCCTCGAACTCACAGAGATCCGCCTGCTTCTGCCTCCCGAGTGCTGGGATTAAAGGCGTGAGCCACCAACGCCCGGCATCTTTTCCTTTTCTTTTACTTAATACCAGCACCTCGTTTACTGTTACCCATTTTCAATTTACCCATTTCCAATCCATCCTCTAACCAAGGATGATCCCTCAGGCAAAAGCCTGAAGATTTACTCAATCCACCCTCCAACTGAGGGCGATCTCTCAGGTTCCCCTTTCTTTCCAGATCTCAATGTCAGGCAAAAGCCTGGAGGTTTAAATCAACCTATTTTTAATTCCTTTCTTTCCTGAGTTTTCTTTCTTATTTCTTTCCCAGTCTTATTTCTTTCCCAATCTCTTTTTTTTTTTTTTTACCGAGTCCTGTCCTTTCTAACTGGTACCTATTTTCATGACTTGATCAGTCCCGGCAAGGCACTGGATGTTGGTATCTCAAGGCTAATCTGCAGTGGCAGCAGATGCAGCAGGTTGAGCCGCACTGCACCAACGGTTTAGGTCTCTCTTTCTTTTCCAGTCTCAGTGAGGCCTCCAATTGTGGCACCCACCACAAGCAAGTCCAAGGTATCAGGAAAAGAAAGACAAGATGTGCAGCTGTTTGTACGAAGAGAATGCATGTGCTGTCTTTATTGCCAGGAGAGAGAGAAAGAGAGAGAGAGAGAGAGAGAGAGAGAGAGAGAGAGAGAGAGAGAGAGAGAGAGAGAGAGAGAGTCTTTATTACAAGTGTTGAGAGGTCTCTCTCTTGTAGGAGGGAGTAGTCTTATATACAGGCTTACAGCACAGTGGAAAAACCCCAGGTGGAAGAGAGCTTGTTTTCCTCCTGTTGGATGTTGATGTCAGAGGGTCAAGGCCAGGGCAGGAAGCCAGGACTAGAAAACAGAAAGAACTTGGACTGGAAAATAGGTTGCACTTGTAGGCTGACCAGCAACTCACAGAGACCCCGTAGGGCTGGGGACCAACAGTAACCGGGTCTCACTCACTGTGTAGCCCAGGCTATCCTAGAACTCCATGTTCCTCCAGCCACAGGCTCTCATGTGCTTGCAATTCTAGACTTGAGCTGTCATGTTATCAGAAAGAAAAGTTTACTGGGTACACTGCAAGGGGACAGCAGGCCATGTAGCAGTACCTAGAGTACAACCTAGTTCGCCCTGTTAGCCAGGGTCAGGTGTCTGGTGTAAGATCTGCTTTCTCTGTCTCTGACAGTTCTTCCTCGGCATCTAACCTACCAGAGGAGGGGACCTACAACAGCTCCAAGGGATCGGGACTGACGCCACCAAGATGTCCGCTGAAGTGTGCCCTCTTTGATCCTGCAGAGTGTGATTGACACTGGACTGAGACACTGGGCTGTGTATTGAGATGTAGCTCAGCAGAACACGTGTCTAGTACCCATAAGGCCCTAGGTCCCATTCCCAGCATGGTAAGATGAAGGAAATACTTGCTTAGCATTCAAAAGGTCCTGGACCTGATCCCTAGAACTGAAAAATAAATTCTAGCCCAGGATTTGACTAAATGTATAGAATGATATGTATGAATCTAGGGCCCCCCTAGGGCAGGCCTCAGGAGTCAAAAGGTCACTGGTCCATCTTTCTGTAGCCAAGGCCCAATTATAACCGATTTTGTCCCCAAGCCTGCTTTCTTTGTGCTGAAAGTGAACCTCACTTTTTTTTCTTCATGAGTGGGGGAGGCCCCCCTCTAATTCTTGGGTTTGTGTCCAACAGGCTGGGCCCATGGCCAAGCAACCTCTCTCTCTCTCTCCCCCAATGTCTGTCCTCCTTCCAAGTCTCCTGAGCAGGCCCTGTATGCCTCCTGCAGCCTTGACCCCAGGCAGGCATGCCAAATTGAAAAACAAGCCCCTTTCCTAGGCCAGAGGCATAGGAGGAGGCCAAACCCATTTCTAGGTCAGAGCTCTTTGCCCTGTTCTTCCTCCCTGTGCTCCTGTTGTTGAAAACTAGACCTTAGGGAAAGCTGGAGAGGGAGAGCTGCCTCTGCAAATGCGGCTCTGTGTGTGTGTGTGTGTGTGTGTGTGTGTGTGTGTGTGTGTGTGTGTGTAGGGAGAGAGAGGGAAAGAGAAGGGGGAGTGCGTAGGGGGATGGGGAGAGAAAACAGAGCTTGGGAGTGTGTATGGCTGTGTGACTGCATGACTGTGCAAGAGACTGGTGTGTGTGTGTGTGTGTGTGTGTGTGTGTGTGTGTGTGTGTCCATGCCCTGCTCCTGCAGCAAGCTGTACCTTAAAGGCACAGCTCCTCCTCCTGAGTCCTAGCCCTCCATCCATCTCAGCCAGAAGTACCTCCTGCCGTCAGCTAGGATCCAGCACCCACGGTTCCCCAGCGCCTGCAGCACCTAGGAAAGAAAGGCTCCTGCTCAGTTAGGGATACGGGAAGCTGGGGAAGGAGAGCTGGAGAATCCCCGAGAGAGAGGTAGAAGGGGCAGGACCCCAGCCCTTCTCTCACCAGAGCTGAGTTAGGAAGATTCCAGCTCCCAAAGCTGACAGAGCCAAAACTGTCACCATCATTGATGGGGATGGGGGGGGGGCAGGACAGCTACAGTGGTCTCTGTGACAGCCTGAGCCTCTGCCTCAGTTCTGTGCCCTGAAGCAACCTTCTTGCCTCCTTGGCAGTTGGAACCTTAGGGTATCTTCTCAGGGCAGCTTCCCCACCCTGACTCCTGGTTCCGGCTCCACCTGACCCCGGTGAGGGGTGGTGCACTGGGGGCCAGCTCTCTCATCCTGCTTCTAGCTCCGCCCCAATTTGTGGTGCTAGACAGGTCCATCACAGGGCTCTCTGGGCTGCTGTTGCCTCGGTGTTAAGACACATTAGGTGCCGAGAGTCTACCAGCTTTCTCAAGCAAAACTGCCTGGTTCTGGGGCTTACGGAAGGCATCATTTGATGAGACAATGCCTCCATCTGAGCAAAGTAGGAGATTTGCCCTGCACCGGCCTTCAGCCCTCCAAGCCTTATCCCAGGGCTACAAAAAAAAAAATAGTTCAGCCCTTTTTGTTTTTGTTTTGTTTTTTGAGATGGGGGACTCATGCAGCCCTGACCAGTCAACAACTCAACTATGTAATTAAAAATGTCTTTGATCTGGCACACACTATTAATCCCAGCACTTGGAAAGCAGAGGCAGAAGGATCTCTTTGAGTGTGAGGGCAGCCTGACCTACAGGGTGAGTTCCAGGTCAGCCAGAATTACATGGTGAGACCCTGTCTCAAAAACAAAAGGGGGGGAGGGTATTGTGCAACTGTGCAGGGAGTGTCCAAGGAACCTCCTAGTTCAGTTCTTCCAGTTACAACTGGGGAAACTGAGGGTGGGTGAAGGCGAAGGGTTGCCAAGAGAACCAGAGGTCATTGGAGGGCGGTGCCCCAGCTACAGTCCGAGGCCCAGACCCCTAACTGCTAGAGGAGGGAGGGGGCCACAGGGGAGCTGGCAAAGACCCGCGCGGCCCCTTCCGACCCCTCCCCCCAGCCCGCACACCGTCCAGCCACCTGCTCCCCCGCCTACAGGGGCGGGGCAGCCGCCCCCGGTCCCCATGGCAACAGGCTGCCCGGCGGCCCCAGCCTCCCCTCCGCAGAGCAGTCCATCTGGCCCCCAGCCCACCCCAGCTGGGCGGCTTGAGGCTGGCTCTCCGGGGAACCTGCCTGCTCTCCAGGGGCACAGTAGCTCCGCAGGCGACCAGAGCCCCAGGCAACAGCACCAGGTGCCCGGCACCTCCCGGTACCACCACTAACTGCTGAACTCAAGAAGTGGATCAGAAACCCCTTGGATCTCCCTTCATTGCAGAAGGCAGAAACACTCCACCAAACCAATCCAGTGCTGCAGGAGGCTGCATGAAACAGTTCAGTGCGGCATCGGAGGCCCCCATTCTGGAGACGATAGACCTGAGTTCCAGTCCCCAAGAAGTCTGAACCTCGTCTGTTACCATGTGAAACAATGGTGGTCACAGAACCCGCCTCCTGGAATGGATGTGAGGAGTAAGGTAGACCTATGAACAAAAATGCATGGAGGGAGAGTTAGTGAACACCAGCTACTGTTCTTAGGGAAGGCCACCAGTGGAAAGGACAGCGCGCAGATGGTGGGAAGATTGCTCCCACCCTGCTTTGACAGCCACATGGAATAGCCTGGGTCCTGTTAGAGTTGGAGGGACCAGAATTTCCAGGATTTGGGAAGGAGTGGTCGTGTGGTTGATTGTCAAACTGCCCTACAGTGGAATAGTTTGGATAAATTAGTGGTCCTGGAGTCGGGCGTTGGTGGCGCACGCCTTTAATCCCAGCACTCGGGAGGCAGAGGCAGGCGGATCTTTGTGAGTTCGAGACCAGCCTGGTCTATAAGAGCTAGTTCCAGGACAGCCTCCAAAGCCACAGAGAAACCCTGTCTCGAAAAACCAAAATTAAATAAATAAATAATAATAAGTTAGTGGTCCTGGGAGATAAGGCTCAAGCTAGTGAGGTCCGGGAAAGGTGAGGCGACACAGAACCTAGAGGTGTTCATGCAATGAGCCACAGCGGGGTGGTGACCTATGGATCATTGGTGCTCAGGTTGGTCACTGGGAGCATTTCAGGGTAGAAAGAGGGGCTTGTCTAAGGTGAGGAGGGGTCTGAAATTCTGACTTGGACAAGCAGTCCTGTAGTGTGGGTGCTAGCCAGTTTGCAAACATTTCACTGTGGAGCTAAGAGGCTTATGTCACAGAAAACAGAGGGAAAGGCCCCAGGGGCTGGATGACAATAAGTCCTATCAGAGCCTAGAGCTGCCCCTGATTGTGAAGTGTAGGTGCCCCAACCAGCATGCCAGTCTGCCAGGCCCTGTCACAGAAGAGAGAATCACCCTGCCCGACTGAATTCTGTGTCCTTGACTGGATACCCAGTGAAACCAGGGATAGAAACTTGGGACTGGAGAGATGGCTCAGCAGTTAAGAGCATTTGCTGCTCTTCCAGAGGTCCAGGGTTGCATTCTGAGCACCAACAGGAGAGTTCACAACCATCTGTAACTCCAGATCCAGGGGATTTAGCACCCTCTTCTGGCCTCTGCTGGCAGTACACATGAATTCCTGCAGGCAAAACATAAAAATAAGGAAATCTTTGAAAGAGGGACAAAAGGCGGTCGGGTGGTGGTGATGTACGCCCTTAATCCCAGCACTAGGGAGACTGAAGCGGGCAGATCTGTGAGTTGGAGGCCAGCCTGGTCTACAGAGCGGGGTCTGGGACAGCTAGGACTACACAGAGAAACTTTGTCTTGGAAAAAACCAAAACCAAACAAACAACTCAAGTATCCCAACCTACATTCTAAACTTGCTATGATTTCTTTCTAAGATGCTTGAGATTTTAGGGGATTGCCTGGAGTGAGGGAGGTGCAGAGGAGCTCAGAAGTTTGTTTTGCTGACTGCCCCCTCACTGGGCTTCACTGGAAACACCTTCGCAGGAAACTGAGCCAAACCGGGGAGCAGACACAAAGCCCCTCAGCATGAGCTCTGGCCATGGCAGGCCCATTCCAGGGTCCTCTCCAAGAGGCAAGAACAGGAGTTTCCAGGAGCAGGGATCTAGAAATATGCAGGCTAAAGTAGCCTCCAACGGCTGGTCCCTGGGGGACTCCTTGGGCAGGCTCTCTACCAGGCCAAGAATTTCAGAGCCCAGCACCTAGAACGTGATCTAGAACAAGAGCCTAAGCTCGGAGAACATAGTCTCTTGTGCCCTTCCAACCCTATTGAGGGGGGTGAGACTAGAAAAGGCTTAGGGGGAGCTCGACACAATCATGTTAAGAGCAGGGACCCATTGCCTTGGCTGCAGACTCCTTGCCTTACTCCCATCAGAGCTACTGCTTTCCACAGAGGCTGAAGCCACTGTCACCTGGCTCCCTGACCTGCTAAGGACCCCCAGATTTTGCCTGAAGGCACAGCTAGAGTCTGCTGGCTTAGGGAGAGCGGAGTCTCCGACTCGGTCATCTCACGGACCATTACACCCATCACACGGGCCAGCCCTCGACTCATGGACCATCGCACACTGAGCACGTGTGCCCGCCCTCGACTGCACGGAGAAGTGTCACTGGAAACCAGCAGGGCGGAGCTGCAGCTCACCACATGTAGTCTCAGCACTCAAGAGACTGAGGCAGGAGGGCCACTGTGAATTTGAGGACATCCAGGGCTACATGAGACTTTGTCTCAGGAAGATAAGTAAGCAGAATGAAGAAGAGGCTGGGCTGGAGAGAGGGCTCAGTGGTCAAGAGTAGTAACTGCTCTTGTAGAGGACCCAAGTTCGGTTCCCAGCACCCACATGGTGGTCACAACTGTAACTCCAGTTCCACAGTATCCAACCCACATTGGTGTATGAGCAACAGGCACACATGTGATACACACACACATCCATGCAGACAAACATATAAAATAAAAACAGGGCTGGTGAGACGGCTCAGTGGGTAAGGTCTCTTGCTGCCAAGCCTGACAGCCTGAGTTTGATTCCCAGGGTCCACATGATGGAAGGAAGAACCAGTTTCCCATAAGTGTCCTCTGCCTCTACAGGAACACACTGTAGCATTACTCCACTCTACTACCTCCCCACTAAATAAGTTATTTATTAATTGATCATGTTTAAAAACCAAATGAAGGGAGGAAACAGGCTCAGAAGGCTAAGCAGAGGCAAGCTTCATTACAGGACATCACCAGGCTCCTACAGCATCAGAACTCTCCTGAAACACAGGTGAGGATCTGGAAACTCAGAAAAGAACTGTACTTTACCCAAGGACCATCCCACTAGGAGAGTGGTGGAATTTGACTGTGGACCCTTAGAGCCCTGGGCTAGACTCAGGACAGACATAATGGACCCTGAGTATGTCTTGCCTAGGGGAGCTGAGGCTAGCAGGAAGCCTGGAAGGACCAGCTCCAGTGAGGGCCTTGGAATGTGAGGAATGTCCATCCCCAGGGCTGGGTGTGGACAAGGTGACCTCTGGGGAGATAAAGTCAAATTCCAATAGCGAGAAGCAAGGTCTCAGAAAGCAGACAGACAGACGGGGTGGTACAGGCAGGGACCAGGATAGGAAGCAGAGCCTGCAGGACTCCAAGCCCTCCCTGGAGATAGTCATTGGAACCACGGAGTGCAGTGGGGTTCTGGGAGGGGCCAGATTACAATCCAGCTCCTACTGTTATGACCCTAGGTGTTAGGAATAATGAATAATGGGTTGGAACAGCAGGTGGAGGGGTCCCCAATCCCGGGCTGGGACCACGGGGCAAGTGATGGAGGTGGGCAGATGGGGAACAGAAAGACCTGTAGATGGGACTCATATTGAAAGTTGTATTGAAGGGGAGGTAAGAAAATAAGGTAAAGAGACACAGAGGCAGAGAAAGGACAGGAGAGAAGAGGGAGACAGAAAAGACCTGTCTGCCCCAGAGAAAGAGCAGAAAAGAGAGCAGAAGTGAGCAGCGTTCTTCCTTTCCTTCTCTTCTTTGTTTTTTTGAGACAGGGTTTCTCTGTATTCTTGTGGAGGCTGTTGGTCCAGCCCAGCCTCGAACTCACAGAGATCCGCCTGCCTCTGCCTCCCGAGTGCTGGGATTAAAGGCGTACGCCACCACCGCCCGGCCTCAGGGTTCTTTCTTTTAAAGGGGTCCTTTGCACCTGGATGCTGCCCAGGGTACTGCCTGAGTGCATTCTGTCAGGTAACAGGAGCAGGCCAGCATAGTGCCTGAGTCCTTATACTAGGTATGTCCTCTCTACTCTGCCAATGACATGTCAGGGGCATTCCTTGAACGCTGTCTCCAGGCATTACCTGGTGACCTGCCTGCTGCTACTTGGAACCTCAGCCATAGTCACCTAGAACTACAGTCACTACACTCCCTGCCCACTTCCTAGCTTCCTTCCCAGAAATGCTACCTCTGTACCCTGTCAACGCCCCAGGGGCCAGGTACTGGCCTGGCTTCTCCCCTCTCAGCAACCACGTGACAGTTCACAACTGAAACGTCCCTACATATAAAATAAAATAGTAATTTCAAAAGTTTTTTTGAAAAGACTCAGGTGGTGCCCTGGGGACAGAAGATGGAAATTCTCCTTGCTTAGAGCATTCTTCCTCCACTGGTCCCTCTACCTAACTCCTGATCCCCTCAATTCTCAGAAAGCCCTGCCTTAACACCCACCAACTAGGTTACAGGCGATTCTTTTTCTTTTCTTTTTGTTACAGGAGATTCTTGACTGTGCCATACACTGCTGGTTTCCTCCTGACCGAAGAGCTCCACGAGAGAATTCATTTTATTTGTTTTGTTTCACTTTTATTTCTGATTGTTTCATACTGAGAATGTAGCCCAGGCTCATCTCCAACTCAACAGACCACTTGTCTCTACCTCTAGGTATGTACCATGAAGGCAGGCTAGAACCTCGCCCTTGTGTTTGCTCTGGGTCCCTAGCCCCTAGAACCCAGCATGGCACTTGCAATGACTTGCTGACTTCTCTGGGTCCCTCCCTACCAGAGAGTCCCCTGACATGGTGGGTGTGGTCCCTTCCAGCCATTTCACCGTGGAGATCCTGGGCACTGTTGCCTCCTCCCCTAAAGAAGCCTGGAGCCAGACTGAGAGACAGAGGCTCCTCCTTTCTCCTTGTGACTTCTTGGTGTGAAGCCCAGGATCCTACACCTGCTTGATGAGGTTCAAAAGTTGAAATGACCGAGGGAAGCTGTGTGGGCAGGTACAGAGGCCCCCAAAGAATGCAGAATCACTTCTGCCTGGAAGGCTTCCATGTCCTGAGGGGATTGGGCAACACAGGGGGCCCCAAGAACTGCAGGGCAGGCAAGAAGAGAGAGGCTAAACTCAGAGTGTTCGGGCAGGACATTAGACCTGGCCTTCAACTTTGCTTGTTTTTAAGGATCAGTTTCTTCCATGAGAGAGGCAAGGGTCAGCCCAGATTGGACAGAGGTCACATGAAATAAACCCTCTTTATTGGAAAGGTTTCATTTTCTGCCTTGGTGGCAGGCAGGAAGAGTAGGTGTGGATGGAGCAGACTCCAGAGACTCAACACCCAGAGTTGGAGGCTTTTTTTTTGGGGGGGGGGCTCAAGACAGGGTTTCTCTGTGTAGCCCTGGTTGTCCTGGAACTCACTTTCTAGACTAGGCTGCCCTGGAACTCAGAGATCTGCCTGCCTCTGCCTCCAGAGTGATGGGATTCAAGGCGTGCACCACCACTGCCTGCTGAGAGTTGGAGGCTTTATCCAGACTTACATCTACTGGACTCCCAGGCCTCGCCGAGGAGCACAATGCTTGAGGAACAGGAGGGTCCTCACTGGTCACAGGACAAGGACTTTACCTTCGGTACCTGCCTCAGTGGTTGACCTCCAGTGTACCAAGCTGCCAGAGGTGGGGAGAGAGGCTAAGGACTCCCTGCCGACCCAATGGCTTCCCCTCCCACACTGCTTCACCAGTGTGTGGGGCTTGGTCTTCCTAAACCTTCCTGAGTCTTCAGCAGAGAGTGTGCAGTCTCCTCATCTGGGCAATCTGGAGCCAGAACAGGCTGTTAGCCTGGAGTGTGGAGCCCCAGGACTGTGAGCAAAGAAGCAATTTTTGCTTTTTGCCTCTGAAAGCAACCAAAAGACAAACCTCCTCCTCCTGCTCCCTCCCCTTCCCCCCTCCTGCCCACTTTGCCGGGCTCCCCAGCCCACTGAAATAGCTTCCTGTCTGTCCAGGAAATAGGCCTGTTTGAGCCTAAGAGGAGGGGGAACAGGGAAAGGTTTGCCTCTGTGCAGCTCGTCTCTTCCTCTTTCCTTTCCTCAGCCTCCTCAGCCACCTTGCCAGACAACATCTATCCTCCATGGCAGATAACTTGGACTCGAGAGTGTAGCTTGGCCATTCTAAAGTAAGTCACACAGTTGACTTACTCCAGGGCTCCAGGCTAGCAAGAGAGTGGTGGTGAAATTTACCAGAGGCAGTCTCCTTCAGGACCCCTGCAGTGGTGGTGCACAGCTCTATTCCCAGCACTCTGGAGGTTGAGCCTTGGAGGCAGGGGCGGGGGTATTGAAGCAGGGAGATACTGAGTTCAAGGCCAGCCTGGACTGCAAAGCCCCTGTCCCCACGTCTCTGAGTTGTAGACAAAGGTGTCCAGGTTCAGTCAGAGTGCAGAGACCAGGCTGGCCAGACCCTGTCCCAACATGCAAGTTACTTCACTTTGCTGAGGATCCCTCTGTCCAGTTACACTCTGCCTTAGAGGATCTTTGCTCGTCGGTGGCGAGTGGCCTGCCTTGAACATAGACTTCATTATGATTCTAGCCCTATCGTTCCCTAGCTAGACACAGGCATCATCTCCTGTTTGCCTGATGCTTCTGGCCTCTGTAAAATGGGGTTTTCTGCAAAGGATAGCTCAGGGAAGGGATGAGCTGTGAGACCCAGACCTATTAAATTCTCCTCACCATTCCAGTGGGGAACCCAGACATGTGACCCCACTCAGCCACACACCCTAACAGACTTTTGCACATTGACTCCACACTCAGCTCTCCGTGTGACCAGACTCCCTGCTCAAACCTACAACATCCTATCCTGCCCTGGCTCCTGCAGCTCCAGCCTCCCCTTCTCCCTCACCCCCCTTTCCCCACCCCAGAACAAAAGGGACATTTGACATTCTTTGTCTGGGGCAGTTCATTCTGAGTCTTGAGACCTACCAGGTCCACAGCTGGGACCTGCTACCTTCCCAGAGTCCTGGCCCAGCTCTCCAGGGATGCCTTCCAGGGGAGAGGAAGGGAGGGTCTTAAAGGAGCAGGCTGGGCCTTCTTTCAGAACCTTCAGGAAGGAAAGGGGGAGGACACAAGGTGGCCTGAGGAGACTGTAGTCACGTGATCTGCCAGAGCTTGGGCTAGGGTCTCAGCACCAGCTCACCTGGCTCCTAGCCATAAATTCTTCGTTTGTTGGGATCTCAGGATTGATTTTTGTTTTACTGTTTTTTGCTTGTTTTGTTTTTCTCGTTTTGTTTTGTTATGGTTTGTTTATCTATTTTGAGTTAGTGTCATTCTGTATAGCCCAAGCTGGCCTGAAATTCATGATTCTCCTGCCTCAGCCCAAGAAACTAGTATCAACTCTGCCCTTTTCTGCCGTGTGTTCTGAGTGGAATTCCTTCCTCACTCTGGGCCTCAAGTCTTCTGTGTAAAATGAAGGGGGAGGAGGAGAGCATGTGTCTCAGAAGTTTCTGAGGCAGGCAGTGGATAGGTGCATGACACAGGAATAAGCCAGCTCCCCGGATCTAGTCCTAGGAGTCCATCAGGAAAGGACATAGAGGGTTTTGTGGTAACCTTTCCAATGCAGAGGGACCTCAAAACCAATGGAGGGCAGGCCTTGCTATTCTCTACAGGGGTGGTCTTATGGAACTCACAAAGTTCTTTCACAACCCTAATTCCTCCCACTATCAACGTATGTGTGTGTGTGTGTGTGTGTGTGTGTCTGTCTGTCTGTCTGTCTGTCTGTGTCTGTGTGGTGTGTACCTGTGTGCTCATGGGTATGGAGGCTAGAGGCAAACTTTAGATGTTGTTTCTCAGGAGCTGTCCACATTGCGTTTTTGTTTGTTTGTTTTGTCTTTTGAGACTAGATTTCATTGTGTAGCTCCTGCTATGTAGACGAGGCTAGTCTAGAACTCACAGAGATCCATCTGCCTCTGCCTCTCCAGTCCTGGGACTAAAGGTGTGTGCCACCATGTCCATACCTTTGTTAGTCTTTTAATTAAAAAACAAACAAACCTGTTATTAGCACGCTTGAATGTATGTTTAGGTTTTCTCACACACGTGCAAGATGTTTGTGTGAGGGTGCTCGTGCATGGGGAGGTCAGAGGACACCATCATGGAGTCAGTCCTCTTCTACCTCTCTGTAGGCTGGGGTGGTCCAGGTGGCTGGAGTGGCTGGGGCGTTGAACTCCATGCTTGCTCTGCAATCACCTTTGCTCTCTAAGCTAGTGCCCCCCCTTTTTTTTCAGACAAGGTCTCCTTGGACCTAGGAGTCTGGGACCTGACGCCCGTGGGATGAGAAAGATGGTACCTTGAAGCCAGGATCAAACAGGCCATGGGGGCCAAGGAGCAAAGCAGAAATTTGGACTCTGCTGCTGTTTGGTTCGGCCGAAGTCTAGGGTTTGTTTCGGGGGAGGAGAGGAAGTTGGGGGGCTCAGCCGCTGGCCAAGGAGCTTGTTCTGTGGGCACAGGAGAACACTGGGGCTCACTGCAGGCCAAACAGGGTTTGTTCACTATGGTTGTCATACAGAGTAAATGCAAGCTGGAGAAAGATCATGGCAGCAGGGACAGCTGAACACACAGGTACCTTCTGACAAAGGGACTTGCGGGGGAGGGGCGGGCCAGGGGCTCACCGTGTTGCTGAGCAAGTCCTCCAGGGAAAGAGGAAGTGAGCAGGGAGATGGAGCAGGGAGAGGAAATGAAAGATTAAGTGCATAAGGGCCATAAAGCTCTGCACAGGCTCAGTCGGATGGATTCCCAGTTTATAGATACTTCTTTATGTTCAGGATGCTCAGTCGGATGGATTCCCAGTTTATAGATACTTCTTTATGTTCAGGATGCTCAGTCGGATGGATTCCCAGTTTATAGATACTTCTTTATGTTCAGGGATGCCCTGCCAGGCCCCATGGGCAAGCAAGAGCAGCCACCATCAAGGCAGGGGACACTAGGTGGGAAGGGACCCTTTAAGGGTTGTGATCCTCTCTTACCACCCCCTCCACCTATCCCCAGGCCTCTGCCTGGCTGACAGCCCAGCTGGAAGCAATTGTAGGCGTCCCCAGCCTAGAGCCCTGCAACCCACAAAAGGCCCTGGTAAATAGCAACCCACACCCTAGACAGCACCCCTCCCCTGCCCCCTTGCAGCCCCCTGCCCGGAAATTTAAAACAACTGCTCAACACAGTCTTAAATCCTTCAGGAAGGGGCTTGGGTTGACAGAATGCAAGTTTGAGACCAGCCTAGGCCCTGCCTGGGGATCCCAGGGCCCCCAGCACTCCCTGAGCTGCCAGGAAATTCCTACTCCTTCCTGAGCACAGGATGGCCATAGCCTGGTGCTCTGAGTGTCCTGGCATTGGGACTGCCAGGGAGCAATGCACACTGTGTATGAGAAGAATCAGCAAACAAGTCTGCCATGTGACCCTGACTCATGATGCTTTGGGGGCTTGAATTGACTCCTTTATCAAGCAGGCATGGCTTTTACCTAGTCTGTCTCTCAGGGTATGTAAAAACGTGTGTGTAACGAATGTAGCTGAGGCAGTAACAAATGTAGTATCCACAAAACCATTTAGAAATAGGCACTGCACACCTCTAACTCCAGCATTTGCAAGGTGGGAGCAAGAGAATCAGGAGCTCATGATCATACTCAGCTACACAGTGAACTGCAGGCCAGCCTGAACGGCAGGAGAGCCTGTCTCAAGTGTTAGCAAGACGGCTCAATGAGTAAAGGTACTTTGTTGTCGTCAAGCCTGTCAACCTGAGTTCAAGCCTTGCGAGCCACAGGCAGGAAGGTAAGAGCTTACTCCCACAAATTGTTTTGTTTTCTGACCTTCCTTACCCCCACCACTATCAAAAATAAATGCTATAGTTTTTTATTTATTGTATTATCTTGTTTTGCCTTTTTTTTTTTTTTTTTTGAGACAGGGTTTCTCTGTGTAGCCCTGGTTGTCCTGGAACTCACTTGTTAGACCAGGCTGGCCTTGAACTCAGAGGGCCCCTGTCCCTGCCTTCCAAGTGCTGAGACTAAAGGCATATGCCACCACCAACCATCTGGCTAAAAAAGTTTTTTAAAGACTATCTTGAGGAGGAGGAAGAGGAAGAGAAGGAAGAAGAAGAAGAAGAAGGAGAAGGAGAAGGAGAAGAAGAAGGAGAAGGAGAAGGAGAAGAAGGAGAAGGAGAAGGAGAAGGAGAAGGAGAAGGAGAAGGAGAAGGAGAAGGAGA